CACACACACACACACACACACACACACACACACACACACACAGGTTTGCATTTGTGAAAAGTGGGGACATCCCATAGGCGTAATGGTTTTTATACTGTACAGACCATGTATTCTATTGCCCTTTACCAACCCTACCCCTAAACCTACCCCTTACAGGAGACTTTGTGCTATTTCAGATTTTCAATACACTCCATTCTGTGTGATTAATAAGCGTTTTGAAAAGTGGGGACATGGGGTAATGTCCTGAAAACTTACCTTCTCCTTGTAATAGCTATGTCATACCTTTGTCTTTATACAAATTTATGTACTCATTTGTCACAAAAACGCGCGCGCGCACACACACACACACACACACACACACACACACACACAGTATTATTGCATATTAAGATACTGTATTATACATATTTCTACTGTTTGATATGTCAAATAGACAAACATTTTCTACTAAATAACTTTTTCCTTTTATTAAACATTCAGGTAGTTATTAAAAGCTATTTAAATTATTGTTTTAATTAGTTATTAAAGAATATTTACATACATTTTGTATAAAACAAGAATAATCAATTTTGTGAATTATACAATTTAAATTTGCTATATGCAAACTATAATGGCAACAAAATTACATTTCAAATGGGCTTTTCATTTAGTATAGACAAACTTCTGGTTTAAGCCCTGCCCGTATTTGGTTTTATCTTAATACAGATAATACAAATAGCTTCACACAGCACTGATAGACGATGGCCAATGCAGACAATCACCAGCTTACAGTCTGTCACTTCTCAGAAATTTCACAACCCAACAAATACAGACTAAACACGACAACAGATGCAGGCATTGGTAACACACTGATCTGTCAAAACCCATATGTTTTTTAGTGCTGGTCAGCATCTGTTAATATAGTGTGAATAAGCCTAAAGAAATCAAACCCATGAGTGAGAGTTGTAGTCTACTGTTTGAGCTACAGAGATATAAGTCACTCTGATAAAATGTGGCAAAAGTGATAATGTTATACCTGAAGTCACTGGAGGTCTCTGCTGCATCACTGATTCCAGGGGGCAGTTTTTATATGGAATTATCAGACAAAGATGAACAGCTTGATCTGGGAGAAGGAGATCTCATTTCAGACATAGTGTCTTCATTCTCTCTTTTCTCATGGAGGCTCATTTTGGTAGCACTGCCTTCCTGCTCTTGTGTCTCAAAAAGTATGACTTCAGACCTTTGTGGAAACACAACAATGCAAAAAGTTAAATAGACAGATAAGCATAATTAAATACAGACTAGCAGCTTTGCATGTTCACCTGTGAAGTGAAGTTTTGTGTAGGATAATGATTCTGTACTGCACAATAAAATATGTTTTGAGCTTTTACTCAAATCAACTCACTCAATTCAGTGCGTTCTGAGACTGCACACAGACAAAGCTAACTAAAAACCCCTAACTACTGGTCAACTCAAACTCAAAGTTAACTCAAAATCAGCATGTGCGAGGAACTTTACCATACACCATTTGCAGTGTGAATCCACAGAGAATATGTAGTCATTTTTGAAATATTAGTACAAATATTTTTTTTTATAATTTAGTATATTATTATAGAAGATATATATTATTAGATTATGTACAGTAGATACATATATAGTAGATTATATACAGTAGATATATATTATTAAATTAGTGTAATTTGTGACATTAATAAAATGGACTATAATAGCATTACAAATGATTCACTCAAGATACATATCAACATTTAAAGGGGTCATGACATAAATTTTCTTTTGGCATACGGTCATTGTATAATAAAAATGGTGTTGAGCTGTAAAGTAATATTTTTCAGTACATTGCAAACATATTAAGTTGTTTTCCATGTTTTATTATACTAAGGTACCTAATCATTTCTCACTGTTGATTCGGATATTAATATTAATAAGTGAAAAAATGTACATGCAGTAGTTTTAGTAATAATGTGGTTCTTGTGATACAATAGAAGTGCAGAACTCAGCAGCACTTTTGTACTGTAAGCTAAAACAAATGTAAAAACTGCAGTTATTTTTTAAGTGCACATCAGCGCATATTCAACGATCATCTCATATTCTGCCATTTGTGCAAGAGAATCATCAATTATTGGTTCACTGATATTGTTTCAAATCTAATTACTTTATAGTATAACTAGTACAATTGTCCTGGCAGTGAAATATCTTCAAACTCACAATAACTTACATTCACCTTTACTAACTTACTAATTTTTGTATAATTTATCTTTATGATTACATAAGAATATGTTCTGAGCTTACCACAATAAGCTGCCACTTAAGTGTCCAGGCATAGGTTTAAACCCTCAAAATGTTATCTTTTCTTTTACTTTCATTTAGTCAGCTGGTCAAGGTGACTTGATTTTGTCTCGTCTTCTTCTCCCTCTAGTGGTGCAGAGCATCATCACAATCTCAGCTGAGTCTCAAAGCAGTTCTGTCGTTTTTAACTGAACACAAATAGTATGAATGAACATTCAATTTAAATTAAACACTAGAAAAAACAGTTAAACAACTTTTGTTGTTGTTGTTGTCAGTCTCCACACGACCAACTCTATTTACCCTCCTATATACAAATATCCAAATGCATTACACATTACTTTATAGCTGTTGAATTAATTCTGAACGTTCTATTATCAAAGCAGACATTTTGAAGAATGTTGGGATTTCACAAAAATGAATGGTGAGACCTCTTTGACATGGAAAGTGCCCCAAAAGTGTGTCTTCAGTTGGACTGATATTCATACTACATCACAGTATATTCGGGTGTAAGCTTACAGCCATTTACATATTTTACTTTATTATTACATTAAAAGGAATAGTTCACACAAAAATTTAAATTCTTAATTTAATAAGACGCTCATTTAATTACGTAGCAGCTCACGTTGTTATAAATCCTGTCCAGTTTTTTTTTCAAAGTGGGAAGTTTATCCCATGTATTTATACTGTACTTTCTGCTATAAAGATATTACCTTTTTCCTCAACTTTTTATGACAATAGTGTACATTCATCCAAAGGCGGATTCTGTCTCTGCCTCCAGTACTATATTTGATGTAGTACAGAGATTGCAGTCGATCTCACCGGATGCACCTAACTTTGTTCTTGGCGATTTTAACCATGTTTCTCTTAAACAGACACTCAAAACTTTTCAGCAATATGTCTCCTGTCCATCCAGACGGGGTAAGACATTAGATCTCTGTTATGGGTCTGTAAAGGATGCTTATAAATCTCTCCCGCTTCCTCCATTGGGCTCTGCTGATCATAATTGCATTCATTTACTGCCCATATACAAGACTATTTTAAAGAGAGAGAGAGCAAAGATCAAGGACATAAGTATATGGTCTGAAGAATCTGTGTCCTGTTTGCAGGAATGTTATAGCTGTACTGATTGGGACATTTTTAAACAGACCTGTGGTAATGATGTGGACTCACTGGTGGATGTAACATGCTCATATATTACTTTATGCAAAGACATGATAATTCCCAGTAAGCGTGTTAAAATATATTCTAATAACAAACCCTGGGTGACTAAATCTGTGAAGTCCTGCTTACAAAGGAAAAAACTTGCCTTTAAACAGGGAACAGCCTCTGATTTGTATTTGGCTACAAAAGAGCTGAAGATTGAAATTTTGAAAGCTAAACAAGATTATAAAATAAAATTGGAGAACAAGATGGCTGCAAATAATTCTGGTTCGGCCTGGGCGAGTATGAAAAGTATAGCAGGCCTTCATAATAATTCAGACAGCAGCACTCATGTTATGTTGGATGGTTTTAATTCTGATTTTGAATTTGCAAATGCTTTAAACACTGCACGTTTTGCATGTCTCCTTTCTCTGACACACCAATTTCAAGTCTTGAAGTCTCTACTAATGAGCTGATGACCTGAATCAGGTGTGTTTGATTAAGGAGGCATGCAAAACATGCAGTGTTGGGGTGCCTCCAGGACCAGGGTTGGGAACCACTGCTCTAATTCACTAATTTACTTAGCCTGGTATCAGCAGAAACCTGGAGAAGCTCCTAAACTCCTCATTTATTATATATACACCCTCCAGACAAACACAATATCATCAAAACAAACATAAATCATGTATTTCTGAGGAGAATGAGTCAGTGTTTTAATATGATCATTATGTTTTAGGTGTACTATATGATCCCTGTCAATCAAACTGAACAGACTGCATTCAGTCACTTCTGCTGTCTGGACTGTCAGAATGACTGGTTCTAGATTTGAGATCATAGATTTTTGTGTTTTTGATAACATTTTAATTGGCATTATTCTGAAAATTTCATCTTCATAAACAAAATATATACATTTTTATACATTGCTATGGATAATCATCATGACCTTTCGTAGAGTATCATGGGTAAGGTACAGAGCAGCTTCTGGTAATCAACATATTAAGAAAAGTGACAAGAGTCATGAGATATTAGTGAACAAAAACCACACAAATACAACTCCCTTCAGTCTCACTATAATATTACATTTTTGCAGCATCATGAGATAAATCAGGAAAATGAATTAATTGTTTATAGTCCTTTAAACAGGATCAATGAGAAAAGTGAGATTCTACATGAATGTCTACAAAGAAACATCTACAGATTTTTGCACTTATCGTTTGAAGCAGAAAGTTAACATCTAATGTTTTTCAATACTTTGTTTTTATAAATATTATATTTAAAACATGTAATTTCTTTGGCATATACAGACAGGAAGAGCACCCCTGTTGAGCATGCACAATATCTGCATTTATATATATATATATATAAAAGTATTATGGTTCTCTACAAAAGAACAATATATTGTAAAAAGTATTCATCAAAATGAATTGAACTGAATCCAAATGACAGTTCATTAATTAATTAATGAGCACACTGAAAGTACATGATCTGTATTGTGTCAGACTGCACTCTGTGTATAGAAAAGAGACAAGTTGCTCATTATAAAATGTACAGTAAACACCCTGCAGATTTACATTAAACACTGCAGATTTACATTAAACACTGCAGATTTACAGTGAACACTGCAGATTTACAGTGAACAAACTGCAGGAACAGAACATACATCTGGAGAAACCGGTTCATTCACTTTTGTCTCATATTCGGTTCTGAGAAGACAGGAGGATCTCAGTGACTCTGCAGTTCAAAATACCACACATTCAAATTAGTCTAAAATGAATCGTTTTTTCTGTCAGCCCAAAAGCAGACAGCAACAGGTGCGTTCAGAAAGCAGGAGATGAAGTGATAGTAAAAATTATTAGAGTTTATTGAATAATCTTAGTTACATCAGTTTCTATGTTCAGTTAGACATTGTCTGACCAACACAAATTCAACAAGTCTTATTTTACCAAAACAAACATTACTGCTTCACAACAACATCATCCTGAGATGATAAATCATTGAAATGGAGACTCTCTCTTTCTCTTATCTCTAATTTACTTGTGAAGGCAACACAGCACTCAACATACAGTTAGGATTAAACAGTAACAGCAAAATAACATAAAAATGATTTAAATGATTGCAGTACATACATGTTATATACGTGTAGGAAGTAATGTGTAAGAAATAAAGAAACAGCATGAATGACGTGCAACACAAATGTATGTTTTCTCTCTTAAATATGTTCTATTATATATCATAACTATTACTTCTGTTACTCATTTCTTTGGTTGAAATGACTGCAGTACATATATGTTATATACGTGTAGGAAGTAATGTGTAAGAAATAAAGAAACAGCATGAATGACGTGCAACACAAATGTATGTTTTCTCTCTTAAATATGTTCTATTATATATCATAACTATTACTTCTGTTACTCATTTCTTTGGTTACATCTATAATTACACTGTTGACCCTCTCCCTATGCCTTAAAGGGTTAGTTCACCCAAAAATTAAAATGACCCAATGTTTTACTTACCCTCAAGCCATCCTAGATGTATATGACTTTCTTCTTTCAGACGAATACAATTGGACTTATATTAAACATCCTGGCTCTTCCAAGCTTTATAATGGGAGTGGATGGTAGCCCAAAATTTGAAGTCCAAAAAATTTAACCAATCCATTATAAAAGAAGTCTACACAGCTCCGGGGGGTTAATAAAGGCCTTCTGAAGCGATGCAATGTGTTTTTGTAAGAAAAATATCCATATTTACAACTTTATAAACCTTAATCTCTAGCTTCCGCTAACTGTCTTATGCGCGTTCACGAGAGTGGCATCCTGTGGAGGATGTATGACGTAGGCGTCGGGTAAACTCCGGTGAGAATATGCTAGTCTCGCGAGAAACAAGTTTTGTTTACAGCAAAGGAAAACCAGTGTCCTCTTGGCTTATATTGAAATCCTCCGACATTTTTCTGTACAAATCCTCGTTTTGTACTACTAATTCGTGACTGGTGTTTTGTTTTGCTCTCTCCTCTGCGCTTCCACGTTCGTCACTTCCGTGTTCATCACCGCGTTTGCCAACATCATACGTCATCCGCTGGACGCCACTCTCTCGTGAACGCGTGTACGACAGTTAGCGGAAGCTAGAGATTACACAAACGCATTGCGTCACTTCAGAAGGCCTTTATTAACACCCCGGAGCTGTGTAGACTTATTTTATAATGGATTGGTTCAATTTGTTGAACTTCACATTTTGGGCTACCATCCACTCCCATTATAAAGCTTGGAAGAGCCAGGACGTTTTTTAATATAACTCCAATTGTATTCATCGGAAAGAAGAAAGTCATATACATCTAGGATGGCTTGAGGGTAAGTAAAACATGGGGTTATTTTCATTTTTGGGTGAATTAACCCTTTAACCCACCCTTTAACTTAACCTTACCACAAATCCTGTCCTATCCTCACTCGTATCCCACATCAATAGCAGCAACAGTGTTTTAAAATATAACATCAACACAATAAGAACTTTTTTGGCATAAGTTGTAGTTAAAGTCATCTAATATAAAGTGGGACTGAATATGCATAGTACGTTTACATTTGTGTTTAACAACATTTGAAAGTACAACAAGCATTTACTATTTCTGTAGTTAAATTCATAAATTATATACTTCATACATTAAATCTTTTCATAAACAGACATATGACCGTGATTAGGACAGAAGTAGAAGTCAGTTGTTTGTCTGTTGTGTGTTCTTAAACAAGTGACAGTGAGGAATCAAACACCTTAAACCCAGCATAGAGGGGTTCAGTGAATGTGGTGTTGAATGTGTGTAAGTGTGTGAGTGTGTGTGTGTCAGAGATGCTGTAGAAGGACAGAGTGCCGGCCGGCCAGTCCAGATACACTCCTACTCTTTTAGAGGAGGGGAAAGGAGCAGGAATGTTGCTGTTCAGATTGTTGTGCCAGACAACAAATCCATCAATAGTGCAGAAAAGACACCAGGACTTGTTATTGTATCCAAACTTACCAACAGTCGCTTCTTTCCTGCTGATTGTTTTGTAGGACACTGCTATACGAGCCCAGCCAGTCCGCTCAACCTCCCAGTAATGGCGTCCAATCAGACTCTCTCGACACAGAACCTGAGGAATATCTTTAAATCTCTCTGGATGATCAGGATACGGCTGCTGCTGATCCACATATTTCACCTCTCCGTTCTCAGACAGAATGAGTTGAATGTTTGCTGTGTTTGGATCCAGTGTGAGATCACAGAAATCTGAACACAAGAAGACAGACAAAAACAGCTGTATACTTTTGTTTGTTGTTATTAAATGTGCAAGAGTGTGTCAGAGAAAGAACCTACATTTTCGAAGTCCTGGTTGGATCCTGAAAGGCTCTCCATGGTCCAAACTAAAATGACACGCACGCACGCACACACACACACACACACACACACACACACACACACACACACACTTTTGGATTTAAGGATGGATTTTACAGTTTTATTTTCAGCAAACAATTTTTGTCCATTTTAGATTTATGGAACAGAGCAACTCTGTCCATGTTGTACTTTCACTGTAAAACGCTTCTATGTAAAAATATAAAAACAGCATTAAAGAATATGGTACAACTAAATTTTTTGAGGTAACATAGAGATCTAATTAGTGCATGCAGAGATGAGAAGAAATTATGATTTAGATTTCTAAGCAATGTTTTGTCTCGTGCTGCAGACATTAAGATTTCTTAACTTGTACCCGACATACTTGAGTATCTTTAGTGAGCAGTTTGAATCCTTCAGTTTGTCAGAAAGCAGCTGGACTCCTGCTTGTCCTGGGTGATTGTAGCTCAGATCCAGCTCTCTCAGGTGTGAGGGGTTTGAACTCAGAGCTGAAGACAGATACTGACAGCCTTCCTCTGTCACCATACAGCCAGACAACCTACAGACACACAAAACAGTGAAGATTACATCATCTGTGAAGCCCTCAACTCTCAAACACTTGAGGAATCATTGCTGATCTCAGTTTAAAATTAATGTCCTTACTGCCGTTCTCATGCCATCAGGTACTGTTCATACATGAATTCTCTGAAGTGACACCAAAGATCGTGAAACAATGATCAGTCATGATCATGCATCACACAGACAGACACAGGACATTCACTCTAAAGTGAGTGTAAGCCAGGAGGAGTAAAATGCTAAAATGCATCTTGAAACCATTTTTAAACTATTTTTAACTTGACTCAGCGCATTAAAATCCTAACGCTGAGTGCTGAACTTTGGTCATGCCAAAGACAATAGTTTGCACACTTATTATTATATTAGTGTAATCTGCAGACATTACAGAAAGATGGGCTCCCTTACGGAACAAAAATGTATTGGAAAATACTGCAAAATATAATGTGATATATTACATTTGCATATACGGGAAACTAGTGCTTATATTTTTCAATATACTGCAATATATGGATTGACCATTTATTGATAGATACATATAAAATATTTAGAAATAAAGACAAAAATAGCATTACATGTAATATTCATAAAGTTTTATCCTTTATTGTGCATATATATATTGCACATACATGTTCCCATATAAATGTGAATGTATGTACATACATAAACACACACATTCACAGAATGAGTTTCAGCAGGTTTCTAGTTCCCAGCCTACTTTGCTTCTGACTGTTAAAGGAGAAAAATCTTACAAATGAAGTGTTATTTCATATGTTTTGCTTAATATTAATATAGACAGAGATCTGTTAGTGTTTAATGTTCTATTATTTGGAATTTAAAAGGGTTTCTGGTATGTCTGAGTTTTTGGTGTTACTATTGTGCTGAAGAGCAGAGCCTGTGGTTAGGCTGATGACTGGCCGAACACCAATAAGACTATATATTACTTTATTTAAAAAGTAATGGCTGTGCACACTTCAACACAGTTATCTTCTCTTTGCTAAATACTTTAGTACATACAGGTGTGCTTGTGCTGTTGCTAACTAGCTACTTATGAATATAAGAAACAATGTAAATATTTCTAAAATATAAGAAATATATTATATATGTCTATATATGTGTGTATATACTGCATGAGTAAATACAGTATATGTGCAATATATTTATACACATGCAGTACCATATCACATGTTATGAAGTGTTATGAATATTATAATATATAATTAAATATATTGTCACATATTTTTCAATATTTTTAAAAGCGGCAATTCCTTATGTATTATTCAATATATTGTAATATATTAACAAAATATATTCTGTATTTTTTCAATATACCGTTAAATCATTTAAAGGGGTCATATGATGCGATTTAAATTTTTCCTTTCTCTTTGGAGTGTTACAAGCTCTTGGTGCATAAAGAAGATCTGTAAAGTTGAAAAGACTAAAGTCTCAAATCCAAAGAGATATTCTTTATAAAAGTTAAGAGTCAGCCACACCTACCTAAAACGGCTCGTTGTAACACATCCCCACGTCTACGTCGCTCTGTGGGAAGATTTGCATAACGCCGCCCAAATGTTCACGCAAAGAAAGAAGGCGTAACTTTTATTCTCGCTGTAGTATTGTTGCTTCCACTGCCATGTCGTGAAGGCGCTGTGTGCTTCGTTGTAAAAGCTAAACTACTTTGTTTGGTCTTCCAAAAGAGAACGATATCTGCTTCGTCATGTCTGGAGCTGATCCATGCTGGTCGCTGAGGAAATACTACAACTTTGCGCTGTCGATTGCCGGAACGGCTTTTAACCGTGGACGAAGCGGAGTCCAGCCCGGAGTCGTCACATGTGGTTGCCGCAAGCTCGCCGGACGCTCCTTCGTTGAATCCGCCGGCCGCTCCGTTCTCAAGCCCGCCTGCCTCTGCTCACTCAAGCCGGCCTCCGCATACTCCGTAAAAAGTCATTATAATCCATAATTATGTCCCCACAGGATGCAACGAATGCCTTGTTTATAATGGGTTTTCATGTTTTTGAATCATCGCTCCGGCCTGACAGGGCATCATCACAATATGGTAGGGGCGTAACATTTCCGTCTCACGCTTGAGGTATTCGGCCAATCACAAGGCACTGGATAGCTGGCCAATCACAGCACACCTAGCTTTTTCAGACTGATGAGCTTTGTAAAAATCGACGCGTTTCAGAAAGGCGGGGCATAGAGGAGAAACAATAATGTGTATTATTTCCATACAGTATGTGGAAATATAATGTGTTTTTTGAACCTTAAACTGCATAAACACATTTCATTACACCAAATACACAAAATACTGTTCTTTTTAGCAGCATCATATGACCCCTTTAATATATTGATCATTCATATCTAAGGAACTATATTTTCTTTGCGTAAGGGCTTTCGGAGTCGGATATTAATATATCAAGTCTTCAGGCAAACCCCTCATACTGGCCTCACCTCCTGCGTCAGCGTGATTTCAAAGATTTAACTGGGCAGAAAGAGGAGAAGAGGGAAGGTGTTTGGTGACAACTGATCTTAAGGACCTGTTGCCTTGATAAGAACTTGAGGATTTCTAATGTTCTAAAACACCTTAATATCTTCAGCTGACAGTTTGAACTCTTCATCCCATCAGAGAGTAGCTTCACTCCTGAATCCTGCAGGTCATTGTTACTCAGGTTCAGCTCTCTCAGGACAGAGTTTGAGGATTGTAAAGCTGAGGACACAGTTTCATAGGATTGACCAGTGAGATTACAGCCAGCAAGACTGAAACAGAGCAGAACATAAAATAATTTAATTCTTAACCCCATTCTACAATTTCAATGCATTTTAATCATATCTGCTTAATTCTTGTAAAACAGATCAGGACATTCTAAAAATAAGCAAAACAACAGAAAATACAATCCTACTCAGAAGAGACTCTTCATTGTTGCACATGATTAAACACTCACAGAGCTTTTCTGCAGTTGATCACAGCTGGTATAAGTCTTCTTCTGCCCTCATCGGATGTGTTGTATTTCTTGAGATTCAGCTCATCCAGCGGCTCCTCTAATATCTGAAGCATGTAGGCAATTGTTGAGCAGTGAGATGGAGAGAGTTTCTTCTCTTTGCGTTTGTCTGATTTCACAAACTCCTGAATCTCTCTGGACAGAGTCTGATCTTGTACTTCGAGGAGACAGAGGAACAGACTGATGGATCGTTCAGTGGAGAATCCTTGTCCATCTTTGATCTTCTCTTTAATGTATTGTGTGGTTCTCCTGATGCTCTCTGAGCTGTTCTCTGTGTTTGTCAGTAGATCCTGTAAGAGTCTCTGATTAGACTCCAGTGAGATGCCCAGCAGGAACCGCAGGAACAGATCCAGGTGTCCATTTTTACTTTCTAAGGCTTTATCTACTGCACCTTTATGCAAATTATGCATTGAATCAAAAGTCTTAAGGGCTTCCATGGTGCTGCTTAAATAACAGTAAAACACATAGAAAGCAGCGAGAAACTCTTGAACGCTCAGATGAATAAAGCTGTAGACTTTCCTCTGATGAATCACAGATTCCTCTTTAAAGATCTCAGTACAAATCCCAGAAAACACTGAGGTGTCAGTGACGTCTAAGCCGCTCTCTCTCAGGTCCTCCTCATAGAGCATCACATTGCCCTTCATCAGCTGCTTAAAAGCCACTTCAGCAAGTTTCACAATCACTTCTCTGTTGGTCTTCAGGAGTTTCTCTGGATCTCTCTCTTCATACTTCTGGTTCCTCATGTTGATCTGAATCAGCAGGAAGTGGATGTACAGTTCAGTCAGAGTTTGAGGGATTTCTGCACTCAGATCTTCTTTCAGAAGGTTTTGAAGCACAGTGGATGAGATCCAGCAGAAGACGGGGATGTGGCACATGATGTGGAGGCTTCTTGTTCTTCTGATGTGTGAGATGATTTTGCTGGATTTTTGCTCGTCACGGATTCTCTTTCTGAAATATTTCTCTTTTAGAGGGTCATCGAAACCTTGGATTTCTGTCACACGGTCAATGTTATTGAATGGGATCTGATTGGCTGCTGCTGGTCTGGAAGTGATCCAAATGAGAGCAGAGGGAAACAGATCTCCTCTGATGAGGTTTGACATCAACACACCCACTGATGAAGACTCATTCACATCACAAACTTTCTCAGTGCCTGACAACATCAGTGTTATTCTGCTTTCATCCAGACCATCTAGGATGAAAACAACTTTACTTTCCTCATAAATCTTTGAGTCCAGATCTTGAAGTAAAGGGTGGAAGTCCAGCAGAAGTCTGTGAAGACTGTACTGATGATCTTGAATCAAGTTCAGCTCTCGAAATGGAAACACAAACATGAAATCTACATCCTGATTGGCTTTTCCCTCGGCCCAGTCCAGAATGAACTTCTGCACAGAGACGGTTTTTCCAATTCCAGCGATACCTTTAGTAAGAACAGTCTTGATTTTGTATTTCTCCTCATATCCTGGTTTAGATAAGGCTTTGAAGATGTCATTACAGTTTATTGGATTGTTTTGTGTTCTGGGTGTTTTCTCCATCTGTAAAACCTCATGTTCTTCATTCACCCCTTCTCTCTCTCCTTCTATTATGTAGAGCTGTGTGAAGATTCTGTTCAAGGGGGTTTCATTACCTTTGTTTCCCTCAAATAAGCAGCCAAACTTGTTCTTCATGCTGGTTTTGTGAAGGTCTGCTTCAGGTATTTCCTGCCTGATGTGGGTCTGGTAGTGGGATTCAACTGTATCATCTATCTTCACAATGCTGAAATTAAAAGAAAGAACAGCAAAAATGTCAATGATTACAATGACTGTTGAACATTTTAAGAAACATAGAAGTGTGGATTGTATACTGTATGTTGTATATTTTGGAGAACATTTAGTGTTCATTGGGTTTCTCAAACCATTATTTAATCAAGGTGAATTACAGTAAATCAGCAACTACATGTTTATACTAACTGTGGGGCAGAAGTCACTGTTCCATCATTGAATGAAATGGGATCACACATGGATTGTGTGCTTCTCATAGACACACCGCTGGGTTCTGGAGATTTTGATCTCAGATTCTTCTTCCTGCTGCTATTGACAAAAGACAAACAAAACAATATGTATATTATACTGTACACACACCGTACTATTGTCACATTTATGTTCTGTCTTAGTTTAGACTTCCCTGTGTTTCTGTTCACCCAGCCTTGACCCAAATTTCCATTGTTCCCTGATTAGTCCATTCTGTTCACCTGTTTTTGATGAATTACTCCACCTGTTACAGTTCTCTTTGATTACGTTCCCTGTGTTCATAAGCCCAGTATTTTCCTCAGTTCCCTTATCTTGCATTGAAGTTATATTGTGGTTGTTGTCGCCTCTGTTTTTGAGTGTTTTGTTCTTGAATTAATAATTAAAGACTCTATCGTGGATTACTTCACCGTGTGCTCCATCCAAACCACATTGTGACAACTATTGTATATTATACACTGTACATTGTATACACATTTCTATCAATATTTGCTTATTAAAAGATATACATTTTAAAGCAAACAAGAATAAACAATTTTATGATTTATACAAGGTATATCTGCTATATGCCAACTATAATGGGAACAAAATTACATACAAAATGTGCTTTTCATTTAGTTTAGACAAACTTCTGGTTTAAGCACTGTACTGAGAGACACCGGCCAATGCAGACAATCACCTGCGTACAGTACATCATTCTCCAAAATTCCACAACCGAACAAATACAGACTGAACACGGCAACATGGGTAATACACTGATCCAACAAAAACCAACTCGTGTTAGTTTTGGTCAGCGTCTATTGGTGCAGTGTGAATTAGCCTATAAAAAAATCAAATCCATGATCTTGGCTTTGTGAGAGCTATGCTCTACTGTTTGAGCTACAGAAATGTAAAAAAGTGCTAATGTCATACCTGGAGTCACTGTAGGTCTTTGTTGCATCACTGATTCCAGGGGGCAGTTTGTATATGGAATCATCAGACAAAGATGCACAGCTTGATCTGGGAGAAGGAGATCTCATTTCAGACATAGTGTCTTCATTCTCTCTTTTCTCATGGAGGCTCATTTTGGTAACACTGCCTTCCTGCTCTTGTGTCTCAAAAAGTTTGACCGCAGACCATCTTGGAAACACAATAGTAGAAAAAGATAGTTAAAAACAAAAAGTTAAATAGACAGATACACATAATTAAATACAGACTATTGTCGTGAGTAGCTTTGGACCCTTACCTGTGAAGTAAAAAGTGCAGTTTTGTGTAATACAACAGAGTTTTTACTCAAAACAGCTTGTGCAGTTAAGTGCCTTCAAATGGACTTCTCAGAGATAAAATGAACTAAAACAAAGCCCGGAACAATTCAAACTCAAAGTTAACTCAAGATCAGCTTGTGTGAGAAACTTTACCATACATCATTTGCAGTGTGAATCCACAGAGAAAATGTAATCATATCTTTGAATATTAGTACAGATATGTAATAGTTTTAATTATAATGATAATAATATCAACAATAGTATTATTTCGTATCACATACGTTATTTAATTAGTGTAATTTGTGAAATAAAAAATATTTTAGATTATGTGATGTGAAATTATTCACTCAAGGTACACATCAACATTTAAAGGGGTCATGAGATGAATTTTCCTTGATCTTTTGACATATCGTCATTGTACAATAAAAATATTGTTGAGTATTTTTGTCTAATATTTGTCTAATATTTTTCATTTAATGGTACATTTCAGTTTTATTATACCAAGTCATTTCTCACTGTTGATTCGGCTTTTAATGTTCACAAGTGTGGAAATTTACCTGCAGTAGAAAAGCAGTAGTTTTAGTAATAATGTGGTTCTTGTTATACAATAGAAGAGCAGAACTCTGCTTTTGTACTGTAAGCTAAAACAAATGTAAAAACTGCAGTTATTTTTTTAAGTGCACATCATGACATTCAACAATCATCTCATATTCTGCCATTTGTGCAAGAGAATCAACAAACATTCGTTCACTGATATTGTTTTCAATCTAATTACTATATAGTATAATTAGTACAATTTACAATTGTCCTGGCAGTGAAATATCTTCAAACTAACAATAACTTACCATCATTATTTTATATATATATATATATATATATATAGGCTTTCATGAAGAAAAAATTCTGAGCTTACCACAATAAGCTGCCAATTAAGTGTCCAGGCATAGGTTTAAACCCCCAAAATGTTGTCCTTTCTTTTACTTTCATTTAGTCAGCTGGTCAAGGTGACTTGATTTTGTCTCGTCTTCTTCTCCCTCTAGTGGTGCAGAGCATCATCACAATCTCAGCTGAGTCTCAAAGCAGTTCTGTCGTTTTTAACTGAACACAAATAGTATGAATGAACATTAGACTCATAACTAGCTATCAGGATGTGCATGTTGTTTAATAAGGCAAATAAGATCTTTTTGTTGTCAGTCAGCACTAGTTCTGCCGAATTTAGACTCCCTTCTGCTCTTATCCTCCTTCAGGAACTGACCAAGTGTCTCAAACTCCCCCATCTGTATCTAGAGTCAGGAGGAGGGATCATTTATTGAATATTACATGTACATAATAATATATAGAGATTGTGTAATATGATGTATGGACTCTGGTTTGTTTTTAGCAGCAGTTTCACAGGTTTGATAGTTATAATTTCCAGATCCTGTTTCAGTACATTGACTTATGCCTCCAGCTCCCCTGCAGGAAACAAGACAAAACTACACAGTTCTGAAGAATCTACAAGAAAACGAAAACAAAAACATGCAGCTCATATGAATAAACTACAATTAAATTGATGAGTGATGAAATGCTTTATATGGAAATACACAGCAGCACGTCAGAAATACTGCATTAGTGCTGTCTCTGTCCTAAGTTACATCACTGCACCAAAATATACACTGCAAGACTATTAAAGAAAACATTATTAAACATAAAACGTCAAAATTCACACAAACAAAACAATCATAATTCCTAATATACTGCGATGTGGTATTAGAGATGAAGTGCAATGTCGGTTTACTGAAAGAAAATATGATTTACAGCTTACTGTGACTGAAATTACAACGCAATGAAAGACATACAAACATATGAAAGTAGTTACTCACAACTGATTCATAACATGCATGTTCTGAAAGGTGAGCCTGAAAGTAGTTTTTTTTTTAAAAGCTGGTTTAATGAAAATTCTTCATTTAATCAGAAGCTCGTTTAAATACGTAGCAGCACAGGCTGTTGTAAGAGCACGTAAATCCTACCCACTTCTTTGCATTGTCAGCACATGCTTCAGTGCTCTGAGAGTGTTTATAGTGCTGTGAGTTTAACACTTCATGACTGAGAGCAGAACACAACACAATCTTCATCATCACACAAGACACAACAACAACAATGACCAACATCATCATCCTCATCTGGACCATTGCAGCTTTTATTCAAGGTAAAATAAACAGTTTGATGCTGGTGTTGCTGTTCATTTAAAAGTATATGATGCAGTTTTAAACACACATTGTTTTTATTTTCTCTTCTTCAGAGTCCAGAGGAGTCACTTTGACTCAACCTGAAGTTAAAACTGTCCAGCAGGGTCAAACAGCTACAATAGAGTGCCAGATTGACACTGGTATACGCTACAATCACTTAGCCTGGTATCAGCAGAAACCTGGAGAAGCTCCTAAACTCCTGATATATTATATAAACACCCTTCAGTCAGGAACTCCAACTAGATTCAGTGGCAGTGGAACAAGAGATACTGGAAGAGATTTCACTCTGACCATCAGTGGAGTCCAGACTGAAGATACAGGAGATTATTACTGTCAGAGTTATCACTACATCAACAGTAAAGGTGTGTTTACACAGAGATAAAGAGTCGTACAAAAACCTCCGTCAGTCAGAGTCACAGTGACTGCACTGATACAGCTGAGAGATACTGCAGCTGCTGATGAGAGGATGACAAACAACACAAAGAGTTGTTGTATCAAATTGAACATTAAACACTACAAGTCTCCCCTTTTTCATCTTGATCAAAAGCACAAAAAAATAATACTTGTTTTCAAAATGTGTACTCTCCCTGTTAAGTCCCATGCAAAGCATGCTGGGAACTACACTTCTCAAAATCTAAACATAGGCTATAACTCTCAAATCCACATAAGAATACCGAACATTACTGTAATATCGTAAAACATTAGTATCGTATATGAATCTGTTTTTTTTTGTGAACAAATGCTCTTTACTGTCTATTATCAGCCCAGTAGAGCAACCGCACTTCCATTTAGATACATTATATAGAATAACTTCGTTTGAATTTAACGGAGTAAATTCATAAATTATTTCTTGAACAATGTTGAGTGGTTTATTCTCTAAATACACAGAAGGTGGCGCCACTAGCAGGTGAATGAATGCTTATCTGACCATCAGCAGACATGTTTGGACAACCAGCTGATGATCAATTATCTTCATCACAATTAATGATGATCAATTAACACATTACTTTGTATTGCGTTCATACATTCAGCAATAATGAATTGAGCACAATAGATATACGAAGGTGCAGGGAAGCATAATCCTAAAACTGCTGAAGTTTCAGGAATGTTTAAATTGTGGAATCTAAATTGGACTCTAAATGTCAAACAGTGAGGGAAAGATGTTAATTTGGAATGAGGAATATAGCCTGCTGTTTTTGTCCATACTGGATCAAGCTGTTTTTGATCATGTATTAAATGTTTGGTCCTGCAGTAGAGATTTATTGACTTCATTACACTTTAAATCTGTTTAGTTATTAATTGTAAGATGATGACACTTCCAGTCATCTGCAGTACATAACATTAAAACCCTCCAGTCATGAACTCCATCGAGATTCAGTGGAAATGGAGCCGATTGTGGCACTGATTTGACTCTGAGCATCAGTGGAGTCCAGACTGAAGATACAGGAGATTATTACTGTCAGAGAGAACACAGTGATAAAGAGTCGTACAAAAACCTCCGTCACCCTTACGAAAAATAAATTTATTAAAGTGTGCTATTAGTATACTTCTTTTAAACTAAAAATAGGAAAGTATACTTTTAGTCTGCTTTTTATGTACTTCTCAGAAATGGGCTTTATGTACTCCTCAGAAATATACTTAAAATGACATTTAAGTATACTTGACTTATACTTAGAAAAAGTCTAAATATATTTGAGCTATAATTGTGCTCCTAGAATCCGTGTTTTCATTCTTATACTGTAGGGCGCTAGTACACATCTTCTGTACAGGATTTCCAAAAATCACAAGTGAAGAAGAAACCGAAACAACAGATGCTTCCACATGTATTCTAACACGATCATCAGACATAAAACAGCATCAAAACTGTGTAACATTATGGAATAAAATGCAGACCAATGAAGAGGTAATAATAACTGTCAAGCTTCGGGGTGTTGAGCGACTCTATCTACGTTTTGATTATCATTCTGAATCCAATTCATAGTCTTTTTTCAGCTTTTTGTTCAAAATGTTGTTTATTTCTTTATTTATGAAAATTATCCACATTCAAGTGTTTAAAAAAAGAATGCATGAAGCAAGAATAAAATGTTTTTGTTTACAAGCAGATACCCTGTTCTTTTGATGTTTTGTATGTTCAGATATTCAGATAACAAAATATATACAAATTAATACCTAAATAGGGACATAGTAGTATACTTACAGTATGATGTAAAGTTCACTTAAAGAAAACAGTATAAAACTACTAAACTAGTAGTTTACTGAGACTATACTTCAAAGTGTACTAAAAATGCTACTACAACAGTCAGAGTCCGAGTGACTGCACTGATACAGCTGAGAGATACTGCAGCTGCTCATAAACACAATCACACACAACACTGATCAATGAACAAACACCAATAACACAAAATAAATAGATTGTGAATTTTATTGTAAAAATGTTTTATGTTGGCTTGGCAAAACCTTGTCTGAATCAAATACCATCTTTAGGTAGGAAGGTTTTACTGTCAAATTGAGACACACTATTAAAAGTTTAGACCACTTCAGCCCCCATTACCCTCTTAAGACCCATTAAATCAAATTATCAAACTGCATTAGATATGGAAGGTAAAACTATGTGGTTGCTTCTTATCTCACATTTGCTCATACACTCTTAAAAATAAAAGGTGCTTCACGATGCCATAGAAGAACCTTTTTGTCTAAATGGTTCCATAAAGAACCTTTAACATCTGAAGAACCTTTCTGTTTCACAAAAGGTTGTTTGTGGCGAAAGAAGGTTCTTCAGATTATAAAAAGGTAAGAAAGAGATGGTTCTTTAAAGAACCTTTGACTGAATGGTTCTTTGTGGAACCAAAAAGGGTTCTTCTATGGCATCGCTTGAAGAACCTTTTGAAGCACCTTTATTTTTAAGAGTATACTGTCATGTTTCTGAGAAAATTGATCATTGTAAATATTAGTTTTAGCATGTTTCTAGGCATTATCATGTCACTATGCATTGCTGTAGTTTGCATGTTCTAACATGTTTTAGTATGGTCGTAGATGTGTACAGGCAAGCTGCTACCTTTACAAAAAAAAAACAGTTTAAATTGCAGTAAACCTGCAGTTAATATGTGGTAAATGTGTAGCAAACAAAGCAGTTTCCCAAAAAATACAAATAAATAAAAAATCTGAAGTTTGCAGCACTTCAACACTAGTAGAAACCTGCAGCAAACGTCTGCAAACAATAGAGAATTTGTTGCTTCTCAAACAGGTCTGTGGTAAACCAAACTCACTTTGTATGTCTGTAAATGCCCAGCATCCTGGAGATGTCATGTGACTAAATGAATGTTCATATCGATACTTTTAGATTATTTTTAGTTCACCATTCAAAACTTTCTAACAATAAATAATCCACTGAAATCTGCAGATTCTTGGACAGAGAAACAGCAGTCAGAGTGATTCAGTAACAGCTGTGAGTGACAGAGACACTGAAGGACACACATCAGCATGAAGCACAGATCAACAGTTTATTCAAACATTCAGAAGACCAGTATAACTGCTGAGAGTCTCAGTGTCAACTGATGAATATGAACAAACCTCATCTCTCCATTAGTCCAACTCTACTGACTCATTTCAGAGAATAAAGAGTTAAAGAGTCAAACTCATATTTGAGTGATTGTGTTCCTCTCAGAATAGAGCAGCTCCATCAGCAGATGTTCAGCGTCCTCACAGCAGCTTCATGATACAGTCACGCTCAAGTATTATTTAATAAGCGCACAATGATGAAGAGTAATCCACAACAGTCTTTTAATAATAAATCCACAAGGAACACAGCAGATAAATGAAACCAACGTAGCACAACACATAGACACAAACAATAACCGGCACTCAACAGAACAAGGAGTACAAATACAAAAGCAAGAGAGGAACTATAATGACTTAATTAATAGAACATAGGTGAACTGAATAACTGATTAAACACAGAGGGAAATGACAAGAGATATAACTAATGCAAAACAGACATACACAACCAATAGTGATCTTAGAAAATGTTTCGGTGTTTGAGGTTCATAATTTGACTGCACAGTCTTGTTTCATAATTTCCTGCATCTGCAGGTGTTTTCATGGTTCAGTGAGTGACATTTGATTATAAAATATGAGCTTGAGCCCTGACCTTTTCAAATAAAAAAAGAGAAAAAATGAATGAAAGCATAAATCAATATTATTTTATATCTGAAGTGAATGATAAACAACATTTGATGAAATGAAATCGAATATAGTTTTAACGTCTTTTAGGTTTTTAGTGTATACATTTAAATAACATTTCACCCAGCTGTGCATTTTTATTTTTTATTTTATATTAACCAGTTTAACCCATTTAATCCCAATTATTTCCCAGACATGAAAATATCCAAATGATGTGTCATTAGTAACCCTTTAAAATAAACAATAATTATTTTTAGAATTTTTTTTGGAAAAGTGTGTGAAAAATTGTGTTTTATGGTCGGTCACAATTGTGATCGGTGGGATAAGGTGAGCACTGAATTAACATATTTCTAAAGTCATACAATTTTTTATATATCTTAGCCCAGCTATTTTAAACTATTTGATCACATTCTAGGGTTATTATTATGCATAAAAAACACTTGTGCAACATTGAAAGGAACACAGAGATAAAAAACAATTCACCCATCAACGCATTTTAAAATTTTTACTTTTTTGTCAAATATAACATCAAATTTTTATATTAGTGCTACCAGTATTACAACATCAATATTATAAATTTTTTGTAACATTAAAATTTTTAATTTAGTGAAATATTTTGTCATTGCAACATTTTATTGCAATTTTCACTAGCAACTGCAATTGGATTTGTATTGTAGACCTAAGTTCACGGTTTAATCACATATATAATTAAGACCTTTTATTTTTTTCCATATTTGCAGGAAGTGCACTAAAACATCTGTCAGTAAGGGTTTTAGAGCTTTATAGATGTAAACTTTTTTTACAGTCACTATTGTGACCGGTGGGATTAAATCTAACTGATCTACATGAGCATTTTCTTTGACGATGATCCTAAAACACCAAACCATCATTAAACACCTCAAAATCTGAACATCAACTCTCAAAATCATATCAAAATACTGAAGGATTGACAGTCAAACATTAAGATCATATATGAATCTGTGTTTTTTGAGAGCAGATGCTCTTTAATATTAAATCTAATATCAGGCAAGAAAAGATACTTTAGTGTTTTTAGATACTTTAGGTAGTGTTCACTCTGACAAAATACTTCATTTATATACCAATTATATACATCAGGCTGTGTACATGTACATTTACTTCCATTTATATACAGCAGGCTCTAGAATCAGGCTCTAATTCTGATGAATAGGTCAGACGTCAAAACTGTGTGCGATGACAATTAGTTTAAGAGAACCAGCAGGAAATTTCTAAAGTCCTTTCAATGCATTTACTGATTGAAATTTGGGCGTACATGTGTGGTTCTGAAACTAATTAACAAGCAAAAAATGATTGATACATTCATAGTATTTCAGAAAAATAAACCCCCAATTACTGGGGGAAAATACATTAGTATTGTAAATTAATAAAGTATTTCTAGAACAATGTTACAATTCTTTAAGAAATGTAAATAGTGCCTTCCGGGTAATTCTTATAATTCCTGCTCCTCTCCTTCTGTTCCCAGTATCCCCATCATATTCCACTCCCGCCCTGCCTCCTGAACCCTATCTTGAAACACCTGACTTTCCACCTCATATAATATACAGTGCAATATGACATGTTCAGCATTTTCATTAACCCCACAAATAACCTTTTAAAGCATGCATTTTGTAATCTGCAGTGAAATACATTTTAAAACTAACCTTCCCAACCCTGTGCATAAGAAAATTGTTGGCTTATATTTCTTATATTATTTAAATAAGTCACTTTGCATTGTCAGCACATGCTTCAGTGCTCTGAGAGTTTATAGTGCTGTGAGCTTAACACTTCATGACTGACACTGTTTATCATAATAACACACACAATGACTACAATGACATTCATCTTCTTCTTGATCTTAGGAATGTATTTTCAGGGTAAGGCATTCTTTTATTTTATTAGCATCTTTGCGATTTTCTGTAAAAAAAAAAAAAGTATTATTTTAAGTTCAGAAGTTTTAATATATTTTAATTGTTCTTCAGATTCTGCAGGACAGGTGACTGTAATTCAGACTCCAACAGAGAAACATGTTCAGAACGGACAAACAGTCACTCTGACCTGTAAAACCAGCAGCTCCAATGGACGCCAGTCAGACGGTTGGTGTAAGTCTTGTTTCTCCTGGTACCTACAGAAACCTGGAGAAACTCCTAAACGTTTAGTTCACAGCATCAAAACCCTTCATACTGGAACTCCATCAAGATTCAGTGGCAGTGGAGCTGACACTGATTTCTCTCTGACCATCAGTGGAGTCCAGACTGAAGATACAGGACATTATTACTGTCAGAGTTTCCACGAGATCAACAGTAAATATGTGTTCACACAGTGATAAAGAGTCATACAAAAACCTCCGTCAGTCAGAGTCACAGTGACTGCACTGATACAGCTGAGAGACACTGCAGCTGCTCATAAACACAATCACACACAACACCGATCAGATCACAAACACTAATAACACAAAATAAATAGATGGTGAAGTTTGTGAAAAAAGTTACTTTTAGGATTTACCAGTTGATCTTGAAAATGTCTTTTGATGCCCATCGACTATACTGTGGCCATTGGCGGTGTTAAAACATGGCTTGTATGGTGTAATTTGTGTGTTGCCTTACCTGGTGAGGGTGCTAACAGTTAAGGTTCTACTGGAGAGTGGAGCCGAATAAAGTTCAGTTGTTATTGGCATACATGCATTCAGTCTAGTTTAACTCTTGAGAAGTTCCAGCATAAAGGTCCAGGCTTCACCATTCACAAGGGACTTCTGATTGTATGTTCACATTTGTAGTTTGGTTGTCTTGGATGTTTTGTTCAGGACAAAAAAAAATATATATACATTCAGTCCTGTGGCTGTTTGCATACAATGCTTAGACCAGTGTTTCCCAACCGGGGTGCCGTCTGTCGAGAGGAGGGTGCCGTGTAAAAAATATTTAAAAAATATTTTTAAATAGCTAAAATGTTCAAAAAAGCATCTATTATATAATATCCATTCTGATGTCGCCAATAATTAGAGATGCACTGAAATTTCGACTGCCGAAAATTAGTTCATCGCTCAGGATTCACTTTCACGTGGTGTGACGCTCTGTGTATTATCCCGCTCTATGCGTGTGTTTGCTCCACTCAGTCGCTCCACTCGTATACCCTTCATGCTCATCGGAACAGCAAAGTCCACTCAAAAATTGAGCCGACAGGAAACGTCGATGTAGTACAGTATTGTTTCTGTCTGCAATAGCCCTACTGTGTTGTAACATGGTGTGGTATATGGGCAACTCTGGTAACGCTGCCCTCATTCATTGATCTGCTAACCGTTATGTTATGCTCTTTTTTATTCAATTCAAAGTTTGAAATCAAGCTATCTCGTGCTACTGCACCAAAATTACCCCACTGTAAAATAAAAAAAAACACTGAGTGAGCAAAAATTTGTGAGATAGCTAGTTATAATGGTAATTAAATAATGTTTACATATAATAAAATACATAAAATCTGTCATATAAATTGGTCTCTTCATTAGAAATTAGCCTACTGATTGCCACCATTGATGGACACAATTTTTTAATGATATTAAAAATATCTGTATGACATTATATTCTGCAGTTCTTCCCTGTTGTACTGAATATCTATACTTTTCAAATTATCACATCAAAGTTAGAAATTAAAATATATTGTGACAAAATTAATTTTTTAAACAAGTTTGTTAAAATTTCCAAAGGGTGCCGCGACTAAAAAAAGGTTGGGAAACATTGGCTTAGACTTAATTTAGTCATTTAATTTTTTTCTTTATAGACTGACCGTAACAAGTTGGTTACAAAACAAAGTCTAATTTGAACCTGAAAAATAAAACTTGTTACCCCTTGGCATCTGGTTTATGCATCTGGCCCCTGGTTTGCTTAGCGTTACACTGTTATTTTTTTAACACTGAACCTAAAGATACAAAGCAAAAGGCATAAGGATACAGTCACAACCTTAGTAGACAGCTTTTATGGCATATATTTTGCAAACTTAGTAAATATCAAAAACAATGCTTTGTGCTGAGCTAAATGGTACTACTTTTAGAAGCTCACAAAGAGCTTATAAAATGGTTAAAGGAGTCAAAACACTGTTGCACACACAGAGATCTGCTGCAAGGAGATGGTGGTTCTGACACATGTACTGAACTATAATGGGCAACATAGTTCCTATGATGACAAGAACCAGTAATCCTTTTGTCCTTTTTAGGATCACATCTTGTGGCAACATATCCTGAAAAGGTGGATCTCTGTCTGCTTGTTAAATGTGCATTAAGGTTTGGATGGCAGTGTTCGCACTTAAAATGAACCGCACTAACCGAGCAAATTTGTTTTTATCGAATAATGTTTCAACATTGTAACATTGTTAACGTTGCTCTGAGAGTGTTTATAGTGCCGTGAGTTTTTATAGTGCAGAACAGAACAGAATCTTCATCATCACACAAGAACAACAATGACCAACATCATCATCTTCATCTGGACCATTGCCGTTTTTATTCAAAGTAAGACAAACAATTTGACATTGGTGTTGGTGTTCTTGAAAAAGTTTATGATGGTAGCAGTTTTAAACACAGTTTGTCTTTATTTTCTCTTCTTCAGAATCCAGAGGAGTCACTCAGCCTAAAGTTAAAACTGTCCTGGAGGATCAAACAGTTACAATAGAGTGTCATATAGATGTAGGAATATACTATAGCAACTTAGCCTGGTATCAGCAGAAACCTGGAGAAGCTCCTAAACTCCTGATATTACATAAACAGCCTCCAGTCAGGAACTCCATCTAGATTCAGTGGCAGTGGAACAAGAAATACTGGATGAGATTTCACTCTGACATCAGTGGAGTCCAGACTAAAGATACAGGAGCAGAGATGGCAAAAATACTTATATCCTTCACTCAAGTAGAAGTACAGCTACTCATGTTTAAAAATACTCTGGTAAAAGTTGAAGTACTGACAACAGTTTTTCACTCAAGTTAAAATTTAGAAGTATGGGCTCTGACATGTACTTAAGTAAAATGTAGCCATTACTACTACCTGTTTTAGTGTCACGTGTGTAACGGGACCTCTCGTCATATAAAGTGAGTGACGTGACGTGACATGTGGCCAAGTATGGTGACCCATACTTGGAATTAGTGCTCTGCATTTAACCCATCCAAAGTGCACACACACACAACAGTGAACACACACACACCGTGAACACACACCCGGAGCAGTGGGCAGCCATTTACGGCGCCCGGGGATCAGTTGGGGGTTCGGTGCCTTGCTCAAGGGCACCTCAGTCGTGGTATTGAAGGTGGGAGAGAGCACTGTACATTCACTCCCCTCACCCACAATCCCTGCCGGTACGAGACTCGAACCCGCAACCTTTGGGTTACGAATCCGACTCTCTAACCATTAGGCCAAAATATATATATAAATCCCACCTTTATATATACAGTATATACTGTATATAAATACCTAACACAAAATAACTTACATTTCAAATTTTGTTAGCTAATTAATGTATCCAGGCACCATGTAGAACAGGGTCAGTCTGGGACAAAATGTCACTCATCCAGGCCGTCCCATACACCCACAACAAATTCTGAAACCATGGACAACACTATTTTTTGTATGGCCATCACATAAAAAAGTAAAAATCCTTAGGCTGGGGCCGTGCAAAAAAACAAATTGCCTAGATGTCAAAATTAGTACAACAATAACTACATTATGACACTATCTTTATAGAAGAATCCTAATATTGAACATGTTATTGCATTATCATGAGTTAAAATTTTCCCTTATGAAAATTAACTATGGTTTTATTATAGTAAAAGTATAGTGTTTTAGTGGATTGATTACCATTTGTATAACCTTAGTTTTATACAAATTCCATGGTTAAACTATGGTTAGTGTAGCAAAACCATAATTTGTTGTTACCTTAGTAAACATGGTTTTTGGTTTTATTTGCAGTAAAAGCATGGTTGATTTTCATAAGGGTTAGTTGTTGTCTGCCCTAGCTCCCTCTAAACCTATTATAAAACAATGTGAATATTTGTCAGCTAAATTACTACTGTTACATTACAACAGATAATGATGTCCTTTAGCATACGAGAGAGAGAGAGAGAGAGAGAGAGAGAGAGAGAATGAACCGCTGAATCACTCACACAAGTGTCTTGCAAAAGTTTTAAAATGACTGAACTGCTCTGATAATCTGTTTGGATTCAATTTCAGCTGAGAGATACTGCAGCTGCTCATATAAACACAATCACAGACAACACTGATCAGATCACAAACACTAATAACACAATATCATTACAATAAACATCAATCTTGTATTTCTGAAGAGAATGAGTCAGTGTTTTAATATGATCATCATGTTTTAGGTGTAAAATATGATCTGTCAGGAAATAGGCAGGATTCAGATGCGGGTACAACAGAGGCTTTATTGAAAAGAATAACCAGGGAAAGAAGAGAGCAATTCAGCGGACAGTTTGTGAGAATGAAGAATCTCCTACCACCCAGGTGGCTGGGTGACACAGGTTGGCAGAAGCCGCGACCGTGGCAGCAGAGACGAGGCCGGCAAGGCAGCTCGCTAATCCGAGCGAGGGGCAGAATAATCCGCTGGAGAGTCCGTAGAGACCCAGGGGGCGGATGCCGGGAAGAGCCCAAGGGTACCTGAGTGCACAGAGAGGTGCAGGAATACAACTTGCAACTAGGAGCACTGGAGCCTGAGTGAGACAAGACAGGACAGCAAACAATCACAACTAAGGCAATCAGAACAATGGTATAAACCACAACCATGGCCGGACTTACTATTGGGCTTGAGTGGGCTGCAGCCCATGGGCCCCGCCTTGTTGCGGGCCCTGCCTTTGCCCATTTACCTTTGTTTGATTTGTTCGTTATATGCCAGTCAGAATTCAGAAATTAATTAGCCACATTTCCACTGCGCACACAAGATCTAAATGGGCCAGCCGGGGCTAAAGCTTACAACTACGACCTTCGAGGCCACAATCAAACCGCATAAACTGGTATTTATGATTATTTCACATAGAAGAAGGACACACGTATTGAATTGCATCTGCACTGATTGGTTTGTTATCACCTGGCTACTTTAAACAGCTCCATTAAGCCTTTAGCCCCAAAGAGCGCTCATTTAGAAAGAGAATGATACATTCTCAAATGTTCACACCTAATTTCTTTACAGAGAATGATTCTATATTAACGCTACTATATTGTTCCCATGGGCGTCGGAAGCTAAATAAATGTGGGTGGGTCCTCCCCCAGAAAAAATTTACTGTATATGCCATTTTCTGTAGTGTGGTGCCTTTTAATTAACAGTGTCTATTTACACAAAG